TGGTGGCTGAGCGCGAGTTCATCAGACTGGGCTGTCTCTACAAACATTCCACTAAGGGTCTGCAGCAGCGGATGCTCTTTCTGGTAATAATATATGACTTGAGTTAATTGAATAATTGTCTTTCAATTTAACAAAGAAAAATATCGACCAATAAATATGTTTGCATTTAATTTGTGTTACAGTTCAGTGACCTGTTGCTGATAGCGTCCAAGTGCTCGGTGTCTCAGTTCCGGGCACACCTCGCACTGCCGCTGCACTCGCTGCAGCTGCTGCCCTCCGACCTGCCGCACTCCTTCACACTCTCAGGTATACCATACTATATTACTAAGGCAAATATATTCTTCACGTACTTCATTTAGGTCAGGCGGTATCTTTTATCTATAATGGACAGTCAAACATAGATAGGCGAGAACTGGATAAACGAGAAATCTTTGTAAGCGATAGTCATAGAAAACATAGGATAATTACTAATTTTTTTCTTCATTCCGCGCGCACGTAGACACCGGTACAAACTAGTGTAAAATATACCTGTCTTAAATGATAAAATATCCAGGTTCGAGTGTAAATGTGTTGCAGGCGAGGACACGTGCGTGGTGGTGACGGCTGGCAGCGCGGCGGAGCAGGCGGGCTGGTGCGACGCGCTCGCCGCCGCCATCGAGAGAGCGCGCGAGCGACCCACACACGTCGACACACAGCTCACACCCGCACACACTGACGGTATGCTCACCAATTATATTTAATATCATAAACTGCCAAATTAGCGAGCGGACACCGGGACTCGCCGGAATAGAGAAACGAGCGTTGTTCATATAGACATACGTAATTGTAATCATAAGTAGACTGACAACAGACTGAAAACCACAGCATATAAAATTTTGATGGTCAGTTGCTACATAACTAGAAGACGGTCTGATAATCTGGTCAAGTAAGCCCCTGGTCCGGTGCTCGTATACCTCCAGTAAAGACAATCTTTGGTTGACGATGACCATTTATATTTGTATTAATGTTTTTCAATGTTGTGTACAGAGTCGTCTAGCGGTGGCGGCGGTGCGGGCGGGGCGCTGACGTTCGTGTGCTGGCACCGCGCTGCCTCGCTCACACGGCAGCACCTCAACCTCGCCATGCGGGTATGTATCACTTCACTGCTCTTCAGAATTCAATGTTAGGTGTTTTGGAGCGTAGCGGGTTACACTTTGTTTTTAATTACAATGTACATTGTGTTGTCATATTTGTTGAAAAGACAGAGACAAAAATATATGTTTTTATTAGGGCAGTATAATTTAACGGAAAGTATTGTTCAGACTCAACTGTCGGGCTACCTGCTGCGGAAGTTCAAGAACTCGCACGGATGGCAGAAGCTGTGGGTGGTGTTCGCCGCCTTCACCCTGTTCTTCTACAAGAGCTGGCAGGATGAGACACCGCTCGCCTCTTTGCCGTTACTTGGGTAAACTAACATATTAAAATACATTCGTATATCTTTACATATTATAAAAAATAACACTAAAACTAAGTCACGTTAAAAACTCGTCCAATAAACAAATATGTTTGACGAAATTGTTTTATCAAACAATTTATCAAACTTTTCAAAAATTCTTATTTAAAAAATAACCGTCGAAAAGTTGTTTATTGACAATTTACAATTTTTAGACATTATTAGATCCTTTGGCGAGAATGGCGCGCTTTCGTTACAAAGTCAAGTGTCAAGTGATTAGTGAGGGGACATAAACGTTGATATTTTAGTAAGACTAGTGTTGCGCCATTACACCGGCACTGTCGGATTTTCTTCCTAACACAATATATTTAGGTACGCGGTGTGTGCGCCGGCGCCGGAGGACGGCATCGACAAGGAGTTCGTGTTCAAGCTGCAGTTCAAGAACCACGTCTACTTCTTCCGCGCTGACAGCCACTTTACATATACAAGGTTAACTTTTAAAGTATAATCAAATAACAATGTCAATACTCAGACATGTCTTAAATATATTCTGTAAATCTATGAAACGATGACTGAAGATATAATAGAAGATGGTTGAAAATTATTTAACACTAGCGGTTGCCTGTGACTTCGTAAACATCAGATAACTTTTAGGAAGGCTAAAAAAACGCAGTACTTGCGGATAGACTGAAATTTTTAGCATTATATTTTCGTTAGAAACAACACAAGATTTGTTAAATATATATTTTTTGTCGATATTTCATACAGACACTCATTAATTTGTATATTTATATATATAGATAAAGAAAAATAATATATTATAATACAATGTTTTATTATTTTCAGGTGGATAGAAGTGCTGCAGACTCCGATGTTACATTGAATACGTCACAAACAAGACGAGAAGATTATTTTGTATTATGAACTCACCAAAGTCTAATTCGGAATCGTGTATACATTGAATGTATACAATATTTAAATTGGAAATATCTGATAAGGTACTACTGTGCAATTGTCATACTATTTAACCGTAGAATTCCACTGTCGTGGTACTTGAAAACAAGTCTTTATTCCAAGGTAATTGAAACTTTTTAGTAACTATAGTAACTTTGTAGTAACTGATAGTAACCTTTACTATGAATATGTTATAGAAAACAGGTGATAAATTACAGTATATACTAATAATTTGACATATTTTTTTATTATGGACAGTGTTATGCAAGATAAGCGTTAACTGTAGTTTTAAATTTCATATGCAGTTTTTTTTTGTATTTTTGCAACCCATCGATGTTTCCATTGTTAAAAAAATATTTTATTGGCCTAATATTTAACAGAAAATTAATCTGTCATTGTAAGATAAATAAAAATCTTCATATGATTGTAAGAAATCTAATTTATTTAATTTAATTTTTTAAGAGAAATAGTAGATTAAGTTTTATTATTATTAGCTTCGAGGTCGGCCTGTACAAATTATTTATAAAATCAATACCGCCTCGGAATACAAAACAGTTAGACAAATATTAATTATTTAAATTAAATGTATTATTCAAACTTACGTGAGACATTATACTAAACTAATATATAAATACGGCTAAACACTCACGTATATTCGTCCGGTGGCGGCACCGACTAGTTTCGAGACCATCGGGGGCCCTTCTTCAGGATGAGTGGTACTGGTCCCCCTCAAGACGCGCCCTAAGAGCGCAGGCGCGCAGTGAGCGACGGGGCCGCGTCCGCGAAATAATACCAGTACCATTCATCCTGATGAAGGGCCCCCGATGGTCTCGAAACTAGTCGGTGCCGCCACCGGACTAATATACGTGAGTGTTTAGTCGTTTTTATATATCAGTTTAAATTTAATGTATTTGAAAATGGGACCACAAAGTTGAAACACATATTTTTTACTGTAATTTTCCAATATTAATCTCGAATGATTTTTTTCTTTACAAGGATTTTTTATGACATCACCTTTATAATGTCGTTTGCTACTATCTCATTATTGTCTACGTGTAGTATAAAGATTATTTTTTTATTTGTATTGGATATTTTTTTTTTCAAAAAAAATTATAATTTTTTAGTAAAAGTTATAATCATTTTGTAAACAGATTATCAAACAATACAAAACAATCTTGCCTTAATATTTATTTCTATAAAGCAGTAGAGAAAACAGCTAGCTGATTTGATAAACCTCGAAAATGTTTACCGTGGGTTTCCGAGACCAAAATCAGTGTATAAAATATATCTTCATCCCTGTCATTATCTTTGACAAAACAAAGATTGTTTTAAATGGAGATTTTGGCCTCAGATATCAACGGTTAATATAATATTAATATATACTTTAATAACATGATATATCTGAGGGGGCGTCCAGAAATTTCTGTGTTTATTTTTAATTTTCTGCCCCTCCCTCCCTCTTGGTGAGATGTGAGGTTTCATTCACCCCCTCCCCCATCCCCCAATCTCACGTGAGATTTTTCAAAATGTGAGTTTCTTACATAAAGTAGTATAATTTTTTTTCTTTCAATCAGAAAAAAAATTGTCTGATATTTGCCGAGAGCCCCCTCTCTCCAACGTAAGATTAAATAAGATTTGTCTCGACCCCCACCCTTAAACACCTCACGTAATTTATGGACGCCCCCTTACAGATGTAAGAACTCGTAGATTTTATATGAACATCGGATCCCTGATAATTTAAAATTTATTTATTTAGACAATAATACATGCAGTTTTCAGATGTTTTTCTATTTAGATTTTCTATAAAAATAACAATGAAATAATATTAAATTTCATTAAATTATTTTTTTTTCAATTATGTTGCCATATTTAAAAAATACGTTTGTATATTTATTTTGCGATGAAAATATTTAACTCTTTACACTTTATTTTGCCACAAAAGGAATAGTTTCAACAAGGAATGAAAGTAGTTAGCCGGATAAGACATGCTTATCATGCTATCTCTCTCATTTTTTTCTGAAATAAATGAGATGGCAATACACTTCTGTTTGTTGTTGGATGTTTTGTTTGTGGAAATCTTACTATAAAATGTATTATTTCGTGTTTCCCCCCGACATTTTATTTCATTATGGACCCGGCTGTGTTAACTTCGACCATAATAATGTTGCCTGTAAGATTTATGTCTCATTATTTATTGTAACCATTCATAAATCATTTTTACGTATTAAGGAAATATTTGAGTTTTTTTTGTAATGAAATCAAGAACATCTCAATATTTTGTTAAAATTTTTCTCATTAAATAACTTTAGAAAAGTAATTTATAATAGTTTTTTTTTATATCCCTGTTATGTTTTTAAATATTTATTTTATTTATTATAAGAACTTCACAAAATATTTAAGAATAATTACGAACGTTAGCGTTTTGTAAAAAAAAAACAATAAATTAAGATATAAACAACTATTATTTATTTAATATGTTAATTTTTATTTTCACTATATTTTTGGCTTGGCATATATAGTATACGAACACTGATATGAATAATTAGTATTATTACTAAAAATAAATAGAATATACAAATACCTATAATAACTACATATGTACAAGACGCAAACAAAAAACTAATAATTTATAATATTTGACAAAAAATAATTATTTGAAATTATACAAAAACAGCTAAAACACTCACGTATGTAATGCGTGGCGACATCGACTAATTAAACCGTTTGAATTATTTAATAATTATTTGACTAAAAATAAAATTCGAGATCAATTAAATTTGGCTTTCTAACATTTACATCTACTTTATATAAATTAAAATGTGTCTCTTTAATACTGCAGATTGCAAGTCAAGTGCTTAACCCCTGAGCCACCGACGCTCGGAATTTTGACGAGACGAGACGCTTTAACACATATACATTTACTATTCAAACTTTCGTGAGACATTAAAATTAACTAATATAAAAACGGCTAAACACTCACGAATATACGTGAGTGTTTAGCCGTTTTATATAAGTTCATATACATTTGGATATAAAGGATTGTTTATACATATATGCTTTATAAGCAGAAATTTAATTTTTAAATTTTGTTAGAACATTTGTCATAAATTATTACAATTTAACGATGATACCAAATTACGAAAACATACAATTGTATGTTTATATATGTATATCAAATACGTGTAACAATAATTTTATCCATTTGATCAGTTTTTTTTAATTATTACGTTTTTTTTAACAAAGTATTATGTTATGTTGGTAACATTGAATAAAGCAAAGTCTAACATGCTTATTTAATTACGTATAGTCTATTTAATAGTTTCGTGAGTAACTTTTTAAATTTTATATTATTTTTATATGTTTTTTAACAATATTAATCACAAAATTATTGTTTATAATACAGAGAGCAATTAAAATTACTATAATTATGTGTTTTCTATGTAATTTTAGGGTATTATTTTTATATACACAATTTAAAAATAATTTGTGCAGAGGCTTAATTATATAAAATAAATTATGAAAAATATATGTACAGTAAATCAATTCTCTATGTGCTAAATTGATATATAAACACGGCTAAACACTCACTCTTCTTATACTCTCAGTGAGCTGAGGGTCGCGTCCGCGAAATAATACCAGTACTACTCATCCTGATGAAGGGCCCCCGATGGGCTCGAAACTAGTCGGTGCCGCCACCGGACGAATATACGTGAGTGTTTAGCCGTTTTTATATATCAGTTTAGTATAATGTCTTTATGTGCTGTCTGTTAGTAGTATCAGGTTTGGGTGCACACAGAGTCTAGTTAATACTACAAAATTGTTTCATTGTTTAAGACATTATTAGTTATAATAATTTAGAGCGGATGGCGCGCTTTTTTACCAAGTCAACTGTCAGATTGATTAGTGAGGGGACAAGAACATTGATAATGATTAATAAGGCTAGTGTTGCGCCGATACATCGGCACAGCATCAGATTTTCTTCCTAATTGGTACAATTTAAGGTATATAATACTAAGAAGCGTAAAATAAGCTGTACACTTTTATACAAATATTTCTTATTATATTAAGATCTTGATTCAGATTACATTTACGACTAGAGTGGGTATATTTCTCATTGATTTATAATCTATAGATTTGCCTAATGTTTTCAGAGAGCTTTTGTAGGGATATTTTTTTATTGTTGTTATTTATAATACAATACAAGATGATTTTTTTTGTAAATCGACTTACGACTGAACGACAAAGATCTATAGGTTATATTCCTATTATATCTAAATGTTAAATTCTATATAGGAAAAGCATTAAAGCGTAGCTACAGATGTTGTTATCTATAGTAAGTCAAAAATGACCGTATTTAACGGTCCATTTGATACTCCTAATTTACATAATAAACACATACAAGTGAACAATGAATAAATACAAAAGTAATAAATGATCTAAAAAAGTAACAATAAATAGGAACGTCCTACAATTTGTGCTTAAAATTAAAAATAATATTTATGCACTATATGAATAGAAACATCGTAAAAACTATGTCTTCTGTCAATCAGTACTGTACACAATTGCCACATTAAAGTTACATCCTCGTAGTGACGTGTGTGTCGCCGTTATCTTGGGCGTTCTCGTCGACTTGCTCCTTGTTCCTCCTGTCTCTGTTGCGGCTGCGGAAGAAGGAGGCGGTGGTGACGGAGCGGAAGCGGAAGGAGCCGGGTGTGCCGTTGGCTACAGAACCCACCGAACCCTCGGTCTGTTCCCGCAGCCGCGGAGACCGATCGCGCTCGCGGGCAGGCCGCGTGCGGTACGAGAAGCTGGCCGCTTTCAGTCGCGCCCCGATGCCGAGCCGCGGCTCGCTCATGTGAGGCGCTGGGACCGCATGGGTCGGCGCTTGCGGCGCATGAGGCGCGGTGGGCGTGTGCGGCGCGGAGGCGCTGCCCACTATCGGCGGCGCCATGTCGGGCCGGCGCACCACCATGCTGCTCGCGTGTGGACGAATTCCCATTTCCATTTTTTGACCGTTGCTGGAACATACGATTATCTTATAATTTTAGAAAATTAGATATGGATTTGAATCGGAAAGGAAGTTCATCAATACATACGTGTGCGTATGCCGCTTAGGTACGCGACGCTCGGCACGGACGCTGCCGCCGCGCGAATTTGCTGCAAATGGAATACTGAGCTATCAACCACATAATAAAAATATCATTTTTTTTTTATCTGTTGAAATGATTGTCGCAGTACAATACATTGAAAATGTTAGTTTAGTTACATATAGCGGGCGTGTCGAGCGGATGTGTGTAGATGCGCTTGCGTGCTTGCAGCATGGTGTAGACGAGCGCGGCGAGCGAGCGAGGTGGCGCGGGCGCGGGCAGTGGGCCAGCACCGCGCGCACGCCGCCGCCGCACCCACCACGTCTCCATGCGTCCTTTGCCCTTCACCTCCACCGGCCCCCGAGGCTCCAACCCGTACCCGCGACGCTCCAACACCTTATTAACATAATCCAAATTATTATCCTTCTTTTTACGACAATTACGTTATAGAATAGCAAGAATTAAACGAATGGTACCTGCTTCGTGTACTTGGTGACCTGTATGCGGTCCATGGCGCCGGTGCTCTCCATGCGCGAAGCCTCGTTGACGGTATTGCCCCAAATGTCATAGACAGGCTTGCGCGCGCCAATCACACCACCCACCAGTGGTCCGCAGCTTATGCCTGCGCAGAATAGTTGCTATTAAAACAAACTGCATACATGCTATTATAAATGGCTAGAATAGCTGGCAGTTGTTGATTGTGTCGGCAGCTTTAAACTTTCACAATGCTCACCGACTCGCAGACGGAACTTATTGAAGCTGTGCTTGTTGATGTCGTCGAGCGCCTCGCGCAGCGCGAATGCATAGTCCACCAGCGCGCACAGATGCTCGCACTCATCCTGCCCGCTCTGGGAATAATATTATAATATTTACCCCAAATTACATTTCACTGACATAAGAAGGTGTATTCGACCACTTTCACAAGACATGTTGCCAAAAAAACATTTTACGTTATGAAACACGAGCTTACTTTGTGATTAGGATTAAGACCGGAAGCCGCCATGTATGTCGCCCCGATTGTTTTGATCTTCTCTATGCTCTTGAATCTTGGCTGCATCAGCAATTTGTCAAAGTCAACTGAAAAAATAAAATATATTAACAGAGATTTTGTGGCAATCACTGCGCACTTGAGTGTCCAGAAGGAATTAAGTGAACATATCGTAATCAATAGTTGGTACATTACAAATGATCTCGTTGAGCAGACGCATGCAGTCGATGGCTTTCTGCTCGGAGTAGAACTCGTGGAAGTTGGGGATGCCCGCGAACATCACGCCAACCTCGTCGCGCCACTGCGAATACAGCTCCTGCAACGATATCAACAGTCATCGTTATAATTACATAACAAATATATGTTTGTTAATAAAATCCATCTAAGCCACGCTACGGACACAGTTTTTGTTTCATATTGATCTAAATCAACTGACATCCGGGCATCGGTCCTTGGCGAGGAAGTGAGCGACGACGTGATCGGGCAGGATGTGCTTGAGCAGATGCCGGTTGGTGCGTTGCGTGTCGCGCATCTCTGCGAGATCGGTCTGTGCCTGCAGTCGCCACAGCAGGTCTAGCCGCGATGTCACCTCCACCAGCCGTGCGTGGTACACGACCATCACCAGGAACATCACCATCAGGATCAACATCTGCACGTAGAACGGCAGCTGTCTGCAAACAAACAATGACATTAAAGTTATAATCCAGGAATTGATAGATCCTTTTTTGTGATAATTAGTTAATGTAGGTAGGAAACTACTTACGTGCTTCTGTTTAAGGAGTCGAAGTCATACTCGTTGTAATATATTAGCAGCAGCACCGAGAACATGGCTACATTGAGAACGGCCAAAAGAGTCTTGATGAGATAGTACAGCTTAAGGATGGAGGTGAGCGCAACGAGGCATAAGATCCACGTGAACACGACGTACTCGGGCCGATAGCATTCGCCAGCGCGCTCATGGTCCGCGTTCGTGCCGTTCGGTCTCTCCAATGGACTCGTCGCGTTCCGGAATGACGACGGACAGATGTATAGCTTTGTCGTGCTGGAATCAGAATGCGATTGAAATTACATGTAATAAACAACATAACATTCAAATTTTTACAATTACTATGTACGGAAGATAAGCAGCTATAACAATGGCAAATTGTTTGGATTTGACACCATATAACGTAATGTATAGTACCTAGAAATAGACATGATGGTGACGAAGCAGCAGATGTGTAGGTTACGGCGCAGACGTGTGCGGCCGAGCGCGGCGGAGGCGCGTGCCAGGCGCGGCGCCACGCCGGGGAACTCTTCCGCCATCACCAGACAGAATGACAGCGCTAGCGGCACCGACATAACGCCTAGTATCGCCACCAGTCTCCAGCAGCTACATAATACATTAAAGTAATAAGTATAAGATTATTTAATTGCAACTCAAACCGACTTGATCACAAAAAGTGGTGATTTATCATTTCATTGATAGATAAAGTAAAACATAAAAACTAAATGTAACGTTATGTTTACTGACTTGAAGTGTATGACGTATTGAACGGCGAGTATGAAGAGCCAGAGCACGAGGCAGCACATTACGTTGGACTTGAAGGTGCGCTCGTCTTGGCTGGCGAAGCGCTGCTCGAGTGAAGCGCGTCTAAAGCGCAGAGACCACGCGCGCATGTTGTCAAGTCGCATACGACGGTTGCTGCTCACCTCGATTGAGTGGTTGATTATGTCGTCCTCCTGCAACACCGCACAATTCTCCATAAATTCTTCACAGTAAGTAAAGCAAGAGGACTAGGACTTTAACAGTCTTACAAAGATTGCACATTGTAAAAATTATTTGTAGCTTACATCTGACATTGATGTTATTTCTACATCCTGACCCTGCTCAGCGTCCTCGTGTTTAATAAGACGAGGTAAACGCGTCACGATGGCTGATGAACTTGAGAAGTACTGTGAATAAGAAGACAACTTTATTACAATTTAGACTACAAAACAAATAGGTTTAATAAGGTCATAGGTTGAAGTCATCAAAGGATTTCTTACGCTCTGGAATGGCATCTCTGGCGTCCAGTCTGTCGTATTCTCGTCGTCAATGCTGCTGCTGGTGCGACGTGGAGTATCGCACTGAGCTTGCGTCACTGCTTGTATGCTACACAATACGTAGAATTAAATATTTAAACATGAAATATTCACACAAAAATCCCCTGTCTGTCTCATTTAGTAAAACTGTGCAATGTACAACATTTTACCGAAGTACTCGTAGTACTAACCAATTGGGTCTCGAGCGATGTCGAGTTCTGCGCGGCTGCTCGGAAGACTTGATAAGGTAGGTGGTGAGGCCGAGCTCGCGCAGACGTGGGTCGCGCGTTCCGCCTTCACCCGCCTCCACTTCAAACGTGCCGTTGAGACACTCCAGCGTCGCTGATGATATGTGCACACGCCTGGTGAAGAACATAACAATATAGAAAATACAAAGGAATAATTAATAAATTTTGTATGCTGTTTATTTATACCCGGGCAAGCCACCGCTCTCCATGTGATTGGCTATGGTGACGTCGAGCGACCACAGGTCAAACTGCCACTTGAGCAGGCCCAGCACGCCACATAGCACAGCACCGCTGTGCACGCCGATACGCATGTCCAGATCCACCTACAATTATTAAATCATCTATTAGAGTAGCAAGACAATAATATTGCTAGAAAAGACATTCTATTATAATAAAAGTGACACAAAATACACATGTATAAGGGTCGTTGTACCTGGGCGTTGTACCGCACGTCGCGTATAGCACGTATCATGTGTAGGCCCATGTTGACGCAGCAGTAGGCATGATTGGAGCGCCGCTCCGGCAGCCCACTTACACAGAAGTAGCAGTCGCCCAGCAATTTGATGCGGAGACAGTGGTTCTCCTGAAACAATGCCACTAATTCAGATCCTTTGTGATCGAAGGCAATGTGAAAAGATTATTTGGTAGAAAGGAAAATGTTGGCCAAAGTATCATACTGTAATATAAACTGTGATAAGTAGGTAAGTTGCACGCTGTTATAGGAAAAATTGTTGATGTTATGTCCGTTGTTTGTTAAATCATTCTGTTTGTAACTCACCGACGCCAGTCTGTCAAAGCGCGCGAACAGCTCGTTCAATATCTTCACTAACTCTTGAGCGTTACATTTGCTGGACAGTTCTGTAATGATTTAGTAAAATTCAATTAAAGAAACTAGAATGTTTTAAAACGGACATATAGAGCGATTAACTTGCCTGTAAATCCTTTTATATCAGCAAACAGTATCGAAACGTTTTCATGCCTTTGAATGTACAGATTGTTGAACTGCTGCTCTTGAAATTCCCCCTTAACCCTGGACACGTGGCTGTAGATCTCTTTAGCTAAGAAGTCTGGTATTACTGTGAAAATAATGTTTTAAAATGAGTTGTACACTATTATTTTACAATTGACAATTGCTTTACTACTAAAGTAGTTTCATATTTTAAAATCACGATACCGATGGATTATAACTAACCGCTTTGAAAAAGTTTCCATTGCCTGTCACTCTCTCGTTTCGTCCTCTGTCGAGTGACCATGGAGCGGTGTGTTTCAAGGAAAGCCTTGCGCTGTCCCCAGTCCGTCAGATACTTGGCGTACATGCCCGCAAAGTTCACCGCGTTGTACAGCAATGCGTTGGCAATTAGCAGCCGCAATGCGCAAGATTGGGCCTGAAACAATAATCTTGGATATAAAACACTTTTCACAATTGTGTATGATACGAATAAATGGATGTGTGTATGAAGTCACATAGGAAATAATAAACAAATGTATGAATATACAACAGCCATGACGACCTTAGTCTATTCAATTACATTACGGATTTTTGTTGATTAACCAAAAATATTTCCTTAAGTACTTACGACTTCAGTGCTGTTGTTCATAATATCTTTAATGACGACTGCGGTGGCGAGGACGTGTGATACAGAGGACAGCAGGCCAATGACGATGCACCAGCCCAGCGAGAGCGGCAACATGGCGTACGGTGCGAAGATAATGAACAGCATGTACCATACTTGGTTCTCCGGCGCTTGGAAACCGATGCCTTGTCCGCTTAATCCTAAGATCAAAGGAAAAGTTAGCTTCTGCACAGAGAAAAGAGGAATGAATGGAGAAATGCAATGTTACAAAACTGGCGATTACATTTTTTCAGGCGACTTCTGCTGAATTAATCGGTGATTATCAAAGAAACTGACAAATTAAAGTACCAGTTAATGACAGGTTCTAGAAGTACTTTTTGATGTTCTTAGGCTGCTGACATTTTCAATCGTTACCTTGTGCGATAAGCAGTATCCATGTTGCGGCGGCGGCCCAGTGTAAATAGTTGTTGGCGAAGCAGCGCCAGCAGCCAAGAAGGCACACCGCTACGTTGAGGCAAGCGAAAGCTACCGTCCACGCGATCTGGTACCCGTCCGCCACCGACTCGACTGATGTACAAACGTTGAAAATAAATTACCGCGACAGAATAAAATAAATTTAAAAATTATTGTGTCAGAACAAATCTTCGAGGGGTTTAACATTAGAATTTATATTAAATGTTAAAAACTTACTATCATGCCTATTGGTGAGCGTATAAATAAGCGACAAGCAAATCTGAAACAAAAATAAATTATTATACAAAAACTCATTCTATATCCTACGTATAACGAATAGTTTACACTTCATTCCATTCAACCTTGATTCATATCATATTGGAGCAACAGAACTTCATATAATTTGAAAATGAATGAAGAAATCATGATCAATAAAACATAGAAAAGGACTATTGGAAGGACGTACTAATTTTAAACAGATAATAACATCTCGAGAGGCTACCGGTCAAAGATAAGACCGAAAGGTTATGACAACAATCTACGTACCCACCTTTAGTGCGAGGTCCACAACATTCACCATTATCAGAGACTTCTGACGCTGACGTCTCGAGTACCGCTGATATGACAACTCCACAGTCTCATCCTGAAATAATACCAAAGACGAAGTGTACTTGCCATATGTTCATCAATCTCATTCTCTCCGAAAAATAACGGTAAAAGGATAAATTGATGAAAATAGATGAAAAAAGACACGATAAATGATCCGCTTACCTTAAAGCTATTCGTTATTGAGGGCCAATATATTCCCTTGTAGTAACGTCCCGTTCTCAGGATGGATTCAGAGGACACTGGACAAATATAAATAAAACAGATAATTTCTTAAAAATATATGAAATTCTTACAGTTTTTTTATACTTTATACTATGTTTAAATAGTACCTGGATCACTCTCGGTACGAAATGGGTCGATGCTGTTGCGTGGACTATTGGAAGAGCCGTCTTCATCACTAATACGGTGCTGTGAAAAATATAAATTGTAGGCAATACTAAGATTAATACAGCTATATCGATACAGTGAAGTTTGTGTTAAATTAATTATTTTAAATTAAATTAATTAAATAATAAATTTTAATGGATATTTATGGTACATTACATTAAATAGAATTATTTTTTTTCATCAAGTGTTAACTAAGTTGCTCAAAACTCACAGGAGAGCTTTTTTAAAAAACTTCCTACGTATAATAGTAGAGTTTTGTCGTATAATAGAACGCAGACATTACGCGGGATTTTATAAGTTGTATAATTTGATTTCTTACGTCTATATATTTGTATCCATTAAAGCCCTTTGAAGATTTGTAAATGGACTCGTCCCAGAAAATCAAATTAGAGTTCGCAAAGTGTGAGAGCAGAGGCAGAGTGTGCTTCAAATTGTAGGCAATTAAACGCAACAAACTCGACTTCCTTAAATATACATTTATGCGGAACACGAACTTCCTCAAAGTTTACTTTCTCCAACGTTATTCAATTAGATGTGAATAAAAAGCTTTCGCACTTTTAATCTTTCAAAAACATTTTAAAAAGTAAGTAGTAGCATGTTAAGTTTTTTTATATTAATTTTTTTTAATTTTACTAATTAATTGGATGGATGAATTTTTGTCTGAAGGTATCTCCGGAACGGCTTTTGATGAAATTTGGCACATATGTAGAACATAGAAAGAACACATAAGTTACTTAAGTTTTTTTTTTAGTCCTCGTGGATAGAGTCGCGGGCGACTGCTATTTCTCAATATAACTGAATCTTTAAATCTAAATGTTACTTCTGTATATTTGGACTAACAAGCCCCAGAGAAATGTAATGGGCCCTCATAAATAACGTAATATTTACATAACTAATTTATGTAACGAAAGTACTTAGCCGTCAAAAGTTATGGACCTTTGTTAAGCGTAATGGTCATGGGTCGGGGAAAACAAATTAGCAGCAAGTTTTGCGTAAATCAATTATAGTACGTAAATGAATCACTAGACGTATTTAGGTTGATAGAGAGTGTTAAGTTGAATAATTTCACGCAAGTTTTATTTTTTAATTTAAATAAAACACAAATTGTTTTGTTAAATATTATAGATATTAAAAAAACTCTCAAATATTTATTCAGACCATTGTTACTTAGTTTTGTGGACTTATAATAAATATTATGAATTAATTAATTTACATCCTTATTTCTATGATTATATAAAGTCTTAAATCTATGATAAAAAAAAATAAAAAAAAAAACCGAATAATTAACTAAAATATGTTATTAAAAGGAGTCCCTTTAGGCAAGGTCCCGAAGATACTGGCAGCGTTCCCCCTCTGTACAGATAAACTGATTCTTTGACCGAGGTAGCTGCCAGCTCTTCGGTCCCCTGTGATGTCGATTAATTTTTTGGAAATTTCCTTAAAAAGTCTTAAAGCGCTAGGACCCCATTATCTATTTAGTTTATTAAAAAAATATATTTATACAATTCCAACAATATAAACCACTGCAGACAAAAAAGTGTTTACCGAGTTGTTTGCAACCAAACAACACTCCAACAGTTCAGTATAATATCAGATTCACTAACATTGTAGGACTTTCTGAAACCACCTGTACATTGTTTTGACCGCAATTCGTTCAACTCCGTCCTCGCTCCGATTCAATTTGGCGGTTTTATGATTGACGTCACTGAATGTAATTTTACAACGCACTGTATTATTTAAATACGGCTTTAGATATTCAACGAAGAGCTTTAACAGAGTTACAATCAGGTATAGATATAGATTTTTAAGTACATTAGCTAGAAAAAAGGTCTAAGAGTATTTGAAGAAAGAACAAGTATATCCTGGAGAAAGATTTTTCGCCGAAGAACATGTGGTTTTGTACCGTTATTGATTTGTGCTTTAAAATTAGTCTCAGTCCCCTTTCTTCTCAATTAGGCAAAGAAAGATACGAGTTGTCCAAAAAATTCAATAATAAATAAAGTTATATGGATCGTACCGAGTTTTATTGCACTCCAGAATGAATTTTTGTTTGGTCTCACAAACATTTATTCCTTAAAAGTTATTTGTCCGTTCCTTAACTGTGACAAGTAACTTCTCCCCTAAGAAGTATAACGTCATTTTGGACTATTAGAAAGTTGAGAGACATACCTGGTCATCAGGCGCAGAACAGCTGGCGCCGTCACCTGGTAGCCGCTCGCCGTCGGGCGCCACCTCGCCCTCTCCCTCGCGGCCTTCTCGTACCACCTCGCAGCATAGACCCTGGCAGGAGCAACAATGTATAAAATATTGTTTACCAACCAGATTAATAAACCCTTAAATTGTAACAAAAAAAATAAGCGTTCAAAATTACCCATACAATCTAGCAAGACCAGATTCAATTCATTGGATTTTGTTTTATAGTAGTAAATATTAACTCAAATAGCCTATTTACATTTTAAAGATATATTAAAGCTTAATTTCTTAAAATATTAAAGTTTGTAAAATAGGTCGAAAAGTCTCTCGAAATTCACTACATCATAAACTTTAACAAGCGATAATAAACACGAAAATTACGTCAATAAAGTATACAATTAAATCCAAATGCGAATCATTACGCGAACACGTCAGAGATTTATGGGTTTGCACCTCCGACTTCTTCGCAGACATCTGAGTTGCTCTAATAATAATATTAAAATTAGAATAATTAACCATTGCTTATATTGGTGACAGGACTAAAAATATATCATAGCACAGGTAGGTTGGATTAAAGAATATGTTTGTTTGTTGTTTGTTAGGCTTTGGGTAATCTCAGAAAGTATTAACCTTTACTCCTAATGTATAAAGGTAATATAAAAAGGCGGGATCGCAAACAAATTGTACAAACTCCAAAGAGTAATTCGAGTTCCCTTTGACAACAGTCTGTGGATACTTGTAAAGTGCAGCGAATGAAACCATTTAATTTAACGTTCAGAGTTAGTGGAACGGAATGCGGTGAGCGGTGAGGTAATTCAGCGGTGCTTACCACTTTTATTGGCCACCTTTGAACTCGTTTCGAGTTATGGGACTTTCAGCTTCATTTCAGACCGAGAAATGTATACTTTGAAACGTAATAATATTATTTTAACTGAATTAACAATTTTTAGGATTGATGTTTTTGAATTACTCCCTTGTTATTTCTTCTGTATTTTTATTATGTCAAGACATTTTAAATATCTTCATCTCATTTAACTATTGATGTAGGACCTACCTATTAAAAACAGTGAGAGGGGTGCCTATACGAGTTGAACCTGGATAAGTCAGAGTTCAAGGGACCACGATATCTTATATGAGAATTCTCGCCTATTCAAATACGTCGACTGGACATCGTTGTTGATAGAAGTACAGGATGATCATTTTGTCATGCATGATAATGATTTGAAGTAAAAGTTATTTTAATATGTTAAGACTTAATTACTTAATATAATTTATAATATAATATGAACATATTATAGTATAAACTATATGAAATAAACTATATACTAAAAATAAACCAAACTATTATAAATAATGTGAATGTTCTTAAATAAGAATATTTTCAAACAGCATAATCGAAATATAATACACACAGTTGTAAGTCATTGTACAAAGCAGCGTAAGTAAGACTGGAACAAAATATTTGTAAAAACGTGTCGTTTGTTGAATATTTTCTAGTGAAATGCTCCTAAATGGTGTTGTTTGTATGAATTGAAACGTTGCATTTGCTACGATAAGAAAATATTCGATCTATTCTCGCTTTATAGTGTATTGAATGCAATAGAACTTTACATTTAATTCAATAGTGTTATGAACTTTTTGTTGCTATTTTATGTAGTCTGCTTTTTTGACATTCAAAATAGCGTTGTATCTCGAGACAATATTCAAATTCTCGCTAAATAACATTTACTTTTTAAGCTACACAAAGTTATTTTGTCTGGTAGCTTTTAAACAAGTTCAAGTAATAGTGAACAAATTTCTATGGATTTCTATGAATAGGGAATGATTATAACTTAGATAAAAGTACTACAAACCGCTAATGTGTTTGTTTAGTGATATCATAATGCTGAATCATAGTAATCTATCCTTGGTGATCAATGCACGAACTCATTTCATGGCCGCGAACATTTCGTTTTATAAAGTTACATTTACAACTATCTCAACTTTAAATTTCGTAAAAACGTATAAATATCGTTTTTGGTTTTATATTTGTAATTCACCCGGCCATGTTTAAACTAGACTTTAATTTGTGCATTGGAAATGTGCCAAAATAATGTCGGGTGTTTATCATGAAATTAAAGCATTTTCTACCAAATGAAGCGAACTTTAAATTTGTTTGACTTTGGACTATTTGTAAGCTGTAAGCCAGTCAAGGTTAAAATCTCTGTACTCTACACTACTAATGGTCATAAAACATCAGAGAGATCAGGGATATCCAATCTATTTCCACATAATTGATTTCATCAACGCCATAATAACAAATGCGAATAAATATTGAAAAAGTATAATATTTTGAACTGAAATCTTTGAGTTTAATTGTCCATAAAATTGTTATAAAAGTAAATCACTAGATATCTTACCGCAGGCTTCCGAGACTAAAATCCTCGTTTAAAACATATTGTTATATCTGTTTTGTCAAAAATACTGACAGGGATGACGGTTTTATACAGAGATTTCGGTCTCAGAAACCTTACGTACTTACGAAACGTTATTAAAACAAACTTATAGATTAAATAAATAATCTTTGACATGAAAAGGTTTGTGGTTTTATCAAATCAAGCGTTGTACGGAAAAGAAATGACAAGACAGGACGATGGTATCGAAATGATCAAAGTTCGTCGGGATAAAAACTGCCCATCAATCATATCTCGGACACACCAAAAGATAAAACCTCTTTTCAAAGATGTCGCGGATTTGCCGCTTAAGGATGAGATGGAAAGTAAATCGCCTTTAATACGTGTCGAACTTTTTTTTAATATTGTGAATAGAGTTAGGATAGTAATCAAAGGATTTAGAACTTTAGAACATAAGAGCAGAGAATGTATTATTAATTAAACGCTAGCTTGGAGCATTAACTCTACGAAATTGTAGCTACCTGCTACGCGCTACGACATCGAACTTCATTTCAATTCACTCGTAAAAATAACGTGTATTTTCATTACCAATACTATTTTGTTACACTACAGTAAACATTTTTATCAAAATTAATGTCAAGGTGGTATGCATTATATTTGATATGGTTATATCGTATCTTGCTACTGTTTCTTTTGCGGTTATGATTAGGTTATAAGATATTATATACCTTGATTTTAACCGCACGTAATGCAATTCTAAAACAAAATAAAAAATCCAATTTCAATCATTTTTTTGTCTTAAAACCTTTGTTAATTTGTATGATGTGGGTTCGAATATTTGTAGGCCAAATGTCGACTAATACTGAAGTGCGAAGTGTCAATCCATTTGTATTAAGTGGGGACCTCTATGTTTTTTAAATTCTCGCCGTGATTTACTCTACTAAAATTTGTTATGAACAAAGTTTGTTTATATACGATTGTTTAATTATTTAATATACAATACAATGTAGTATATAAATGTTACTAGACAGCTAGCGAGGCGTGCTATACTCTCACCTCGGGGGCTCACGGCTCCCTCCCTCTTAGCGTATACACCAGACCTTCATTTTTCGTTCAACTTTTTATACACCTTTTTATATCAAAGGTTCTATTTTAAGTAACGTAATTCTGATTTTTTTTTTTTAATACAATGTAATTGGATATAACTAAAGGACAAACGCAGGGACTTTAAGTGGTTGTTAAGGATCGTCCTTCGATTTGTATAGTTCATCTATATGTTAAGTGATACAGTCATTATTTTTTTAATGGATAACTACGACTAACACTATCTAGTGAACTTTAATTGGAATAAAATCCAGGATACTTTTCATCCTCACTATACGTCCCCACCGAGGGTCTCGGAGCCTTCCCAAAGTTACGGGAGACTAGGTCATAGTCAAATACGCTGGACCAGTACAGGTTGGTTGACTTCACACATGTTTGAATTTCTTCTCAGATGTGTGTGCAGGTTGCATCACGATTCCTTTACCGTAAGAACGTCGAATAAATGTACATATGTAAATCGGAAATCTAAAAACACATTGGTACATGGCGGGATTCGAACCCAGGATCTGCAGATTGCAAGTCAAGTGCTTGAAGCCCTGAACCACAGACGCTCTATGATACTCTTACTAAATTGAAATAGTACTAACATTTTCTAAACTTATTAATTGACTAAAGTAATGAAAAAGCGGGGTATTAAAATTTAATGGGGCAGATCCTATAATATTTAATCCCTCCGACAAATGAAAGCGCTTGATTTTAAGCTAATTGAAAAGGATGCTTATAGCACAGACAAAGGTGGCCAGTGTGTGTGACATTCGCTTTGTTTATGAGTTTGAACGAGTATAGAGTACAAACCTTTTAAATAATAATTCGGACTCAAATTATTTAAATACGAATTTTGAATTGTTAATAACTTTCGAGTATTTACCATTCATGTGATAGTTTAGACATCGACACTTTGTAGTTGATATTTGGATCTATAGTTTGATATTATGTTAATCATTTTTATATGTGTTAGTACTTTTTAAATCAGATGTCTCTTGTAATAATTCTGAATTTCAAGAAAATGTAATAAAAGTTTCTGTGAATTACATTACTTGAAAAAATTGTTAGATTTATCACTTTATTAAAATAGACGACAAAGGATACAGTTATTTCTTTCACAATAATATTTTTAATATAACATCTTTCTCTATAAAGATTTGTATGAAATTAGATTTTCATGAACCGTGTAAAAGCTACACGTGTAATTTCACATACTGAAATAAATCGTACGCTCGAATTATCTAATTAATTGAATGAATTCAATAGCCATAGGATACGTATAAACTTGCTGTCAATAATAAAACCTTATCGCCTTAGCATTAAAATCTATTATTGAGTAACAAATAAAATTTAATTTGTGCCCCATCGCTCTTCAAAGAGACATCGGTTACATTGAAAAGGCGGGAAAGCCGTTGATATACTGGACCACTTAGTACAGTCGAGTTCACGTACAGCGACACCTAGCGGTCATGCACTGAACCTGATATATCTGTGTGAAATTAGAAGTAATTTGATCATTTTAAACGTTTATCTAATGTTTCAACGACCGAGATATCCAAACGGTTTTTTTATGTGCACATAACGTCGCGCCAAAAACTTCCGTACTCACATTCGTTTCATGGTCATTAGTGGCGTCCCTAAGTATAGATCTAGTATGAGTGATGAACACTGCCAGCGTTATGTTACATCAAATCCAGTAAATTTTAGAGTTATCATTAAAACATGACATATACAAATGGAATTAATTGACATGTGTCTTTGTAAATTGAAAGAAGTCAGGTATCTTTAGAGTCTTAGTAGAGTCGTTCCATTGGAGATCCCGGGATCCTGCCATTTTGCACTTGAAGCTAGCCACAAAGAGGGTTTTAGTGTGTTTAAATCTCACATAACTCTGTCTTTGACCAAAACGTAGGTAATCTTTTTGAAGATTTTCCCCCGATACAAAAATAAGGCATCTTTGGAGAAGTAAACTTGATTTTACAATGTCGATCTTAATTGTTTCCACCAATTAAACAATTACAAAAGACAGTAACTTTTGGTAAATCTCAAGACGTAATAAAGACAATTGACGTAAGCAGTTTGTTGACACAAGTGTTTTAATTTCACAAAAACATCTTTAAAATATTCGCGTTATTCTGATACATTAGTGTATTTACAGTTTTATATTACTGAATAATTGTAATTTTTCTATACATTACAATATAAAGTGTTTCGCGAAGTGATTAATGTATTAAAAACGAATAACAGTACAAAAGTGTACTGAATAATATACCGCGAAGAAATGTATCACTCAAAACAAATCACAATCAAACCAAAACCAAAACAAGACCGTTTTTACTTCTAATAAATAAATTTTTATAAAGAAAAAATTACATAAAGTTATTTTGTATTAAAATATATTAACAATAACCAAGTAAACAAACACTTAATAAACAAAATAAGAACACTTTGCTTTGATCGTTACCATGTAACTCAATTAAGATTTTAATTCTATATAAAAATAAGAGCTATTTTAGTTCGATCAGTGATCAAGCTGTTTGTGACAACAGACTCCATGTCCCATTTAACCCGACAAATATGTGCAATGACCGGAAACTGAGAGAGAGAGACTCTAGAGAATATAACCATTATGTTAACAAAGGATTTTGTGTCTGTAAACATATTTCACATTATTATAAACAGCTGCTTACAAATTATCGTATCGTGGACTAGAAGTCTCTTGAATTTATTTATAGACACGTCAAAATATAGATCATCATCATCATCATCAGCTCACTATACGTCACCACCGAGGGGCTCGGAGCCTACCTTAAGTTAAGGGTGATTAGGCCATAGTCAACCACGCTGGCCAAGTGCGGGTTGGTTGACATATTATATTATACAAAATACAGATAATACAGGCTAAAGATGTAGCTTAACCTCATTATAAGATTATTCTAGAATTTTAAACTCATTTTTTACTAAGCGTCTAATCGCACGACTCTTGCTGCGAGATGAAAATATCGCAATTTTTATGACATACGCAGATACACAAATGGATTTGATACATAAATACCATCAAACTGGTGCTGATCTAACTTGAGGTCTTATGACGTCACAAATCATCAGTTTCAATACAAATGTAATTACATTAATAAATAAATAAATCATTGGCTAAATCCCAAAAATGTACTTCATAAAGTGATAACAAAATTGGATCGTGGAATGCAATGCGTTAGTGCTTTATAAATGTATCAGACAGTAGCAATCATTTCAAAACAGATATCTAAGGAAAGCAGTTTATCCGTATCAGATGTGAACCGCGGCTTATGTAGATTGGGGTCGGCAGACATCTTGATAACATTTAAATAGCTTATTTGACTACATATTGAATATATTAGATAATGTGCAATATACTAACATTAGTACAAATTTGTCTGTGTTTGTGATTGAAAACAACATACATATGTTTCTAGAACTTTCGTCGTTCGTATAATGTTGACAGTACTAACGAAAAGTCTCTTGATTGTGTTAACGTAATTCAACTGTCATTTACATTCTCCTAACCAGTCATGTTGCCTTAGTATTTATAATATTAATAATAGCTTATAATTAGAAACTATGACAAGTACCAGAAGTGAGGGCGCAGTTCAGTCTTTACAATTGAGAACACAATTGGCTGATAAAAAATCTGACGAAGCTGGTCTTATAAAGTCCTAGTAGTTATCTGTGCTAATTACCGTTACATTTACAGCCTAGGTCAACGTTTCTATCAGTATCTGCAGTACTAAGACCTAATTAATAGAATTTTTAATTTAGTAAAATGTAAATATGAGGGACAATTGCTGTGTTGATACTCCGTCTTAACGAACAGAACGTGACGTTGAACAGTCCACTGTCACTGTGTCCAGGCACGCGACCTTAAGACAGGTGATTCTAAACCATAAAAACTCTAGTTAAGGTTTAAATTCCAATGGCATAGTTGAAAGCAATTTAAACACAATTACCGGGAAGAAAAATAGAGAAACCACTGTGACGTCTGCTTTGCATTAAGTTGAACAACCTGTTACAGCTGTTAACAGAATTTATAATTAAACAAAACAGGAAAGTTATTGTTTAACCGTGGGTTTATGATACCAAAATCTCTGTAGAAAATATACAGTCATCCCTGTCATTATCTTTGACAAAACAGAGATAAAAATATGTTTTCAGCGTAGAGTATGATCTCAGAAACCCACGGTTAATGGTTTACTAGCGCGGGGCTTTAGTATTCCCTAAATGTAAAATTAAAAAAAAAAAATAAAAAATATTTTTTTATAATATTACGCTTAAAAACCTAAACCATAATAATACGCCTGAATATTTTTATACTTGGAGTAGATATTTAAAGTACTTAGACACTAATGCTACGAGTATATTTACATTTAGGGCCGCGACCGCGCTAATAGAACGAACACGCGACTGTAATCAAATGTATCATAAGTAAAATCAATAGATTTACATTACTTACAACTTGTGGGACTACATCTGGTGGCTCGTCTCCAACACCCGACGGCAACTCCACCATCGTCTCCAGCCAGCCACGACCTGTAAAAATAAACTTATATTTATATACAAGTAACGCCATCTTTGTATTTTTAAGTGTAAACATTATGATTTTATTAAACATAAGAACAACTAAATTTGTAGCCTGTATGTTCTCCAGACTGTGTTCTACATCCATGCCAAATTTCAGCGAGATCTGCTGCCGTTCTAGACATACCTTCTAACAAATAAATATCCATCAAAACATTCGCATTTATAATATTAGTAAGAAGTAAGATATTGTTGAACAGCTATTTGTGCATGTTTTTACGTTATTGTTAATATAAAATAAAACGAATTCTGAAGCTATAACTTGAGTATTTAGTAGATGCAGTTGTTTAAAGTTCTAATGGAAAGCAACAACAAATAAAGCTTAACTCCGACCTCTCCATTAGTGATACGATCGTGAAAGGATCGTTACATACTAGCGGCTATTCTCAACATCTCACGATATACACATTTCTGTACATTTTATAAAATATTTATAATAACTAATGCAATTTTTAACAATAAACTAACAAAGAACCTAATGAATAGTCTTAAATCTATGATATAAAATAAAATATTAAACAACGAATAACATTTTATAATATAATATAACAATATTAAATATAATATAATCTAGGTTATGTAGGAATAATGTAGTATTTTAGTGGTTACAGAATTTATTAAATCGATACGGAAAGTTTTTGAATTTATTCATTGAAACATAGAAAAATCTTTCTATGTATAATTAAAGGAGTTCTGATATCATCAGAAAAGAAAGAGAATTATTTGATTATCGTTCGCAGACGAACCAGTCCAGCAGTTATTAATAATTTCAATCCTTCTAATAACAGGCTTTACTTAGATGAAAAATAAGTTACCGTTCGATCTACAAAATATTGTTAGTTTTCATTTGAAACAAAAATAACTTTTAATAATATAAGGTTTAATTGCCAGCAATAAATATAAACGTTGTTAAACCTTAAAAACACTAACTATATTATATTTATTCAAATTAAAACTATTTTACGATATAAGGAACATCCCTAGCCCATGACCATTCTTCGATATGAAAACAAAAGAACAGCTAAGCGCTCTCTGAAAGATTGTTTATTTTTTGTTCCTCACTATTATTTAATGTTTGCCTTTCATACACATTTACTTAGATTGTTGAGAAGTAAAGATAACAATACAGAAATTTAACAATTTGTTATGTTTTCAATTACAGAAAATTAAAAGATATAATTTTTTATTCTGTTTTCAGCAAAGTAAAGTATTTATCAATATTATTTTGTAGTTTTAATCATTATCGCTAGATATATTTCATTTGAACTTTTATTTAAATCAATTAAATTTAGTAGTTAGATAAAATAAATGTTTCAGAACGTTATAAAAACATTTGCAAATGTTAGGAGAATTCCAATTTAACACGTGTCAAAGGCACGGGCCTAAATATAATTTGAACATTCATTCATTCGTTCACTATTATGGAATACGTTCATCAATCTCTCCGTTCGTTTAGACGGCAACTGAGAATGGTGACCTTTACAAATCCGGTAATTTCGTTGCAAACGGAAATATTATTGGTACGGCCTTCCTTAAATATTTAAACTTCTTTGTATATTACGTTTCGTTTGATAAAAGGTATCGTCAATGTAATTGTTTGTTATTGTATATCTTTGAATAAGGTCTATTGTAAAAAGACATTGAATTGTTTGTTAAAGTACTAAAATTTTCACCGTCTAATTCACGGATCACTAGTATCGTTTTTGTATGAGGAATCGACGCTAAGGAACACGCCACTATTTTACTCTCAGTGTGGCAGTACCGGTCTTAAATAAAATACGAAATTATTTTTCCAACTAAAACTCGAATCCACTTCGAAGAAATGAAATAAGTTCTTTTTTCTTTTAAAAAATGTTTCCAGTTGACATTAATATAATTTCAGTGGAACAATTCTCACGTCTGGCAACATCGACGACCTGTCAATTACAAAAGGCGGGACACAACGCAAACACTTCAATTACTTTAGTATACATACTATCATACGTTCATATAATCTTTTAGTTTGATGTAGTATTATTAAAATAGTACTCAGTTAAACTGACTTAAAACTTACGGCATCATTAGTAACCATAGACTAGACACGCAAACAAATTTTTTTTTCAACAACAAAACAAAAGCATTATCTAACATTTGGTTCATTTTTATTTTCTGTAAGAAACCCAAAAGAGCAACTTGATGTAACATAGAATATATAAGAATGTTGACTTAATCATGTTTGTACGTATTGGAAAAATATTTCATAAATATTCTAACGATGAGGATAACGACTGTCTGTAGCTGCGACTTCCACTTACTTCTGATTGCTTTTTCACGTATGAACACGTCTTCATATCACACTAGCTGTTGCCCGCGACATCGTTAGCGTGGATTTTTTTATTATTAATTTATTTGGGATTGCCAACAAAATATCTTACACACAATTATACATAAAACATATAATAATCTTACTTATGTTATAAATTTGTTTAGTTGGATGGATGGATATTTGTTTGGAGTTATCCCCGGAACGGTCATCGTACATCGATATGTAGAACATAGTGTTAACACATATGGTACTTTTTTTATAATTTCGCGCGGACGGCATCGCGACCGTCAGCTAGTATACATATAATTAATGATGATTGTTTATTACGGTCCGAAGTTATACAGCGATTGTTAAACAAAAAACTATTCCACGAATATAGATTTGTTTCGGGCATCCATCCACTGACGTAATATATTGTTGTCTCTCTTTTTCCGGAAAGAATGAGAGAGATGATCGCGAATCTTAAACAAATGTTTTGACAGTGTGAAGTCATAAGGGAAATAAAGTTTTAGTATGAGATCTTATTCTTTCGAGCCAAACGTTTACATTTATTTTAGTTATAGAATACTAACAATATAAAGATTACAACTTTTTTCGTGTTACCTTTTCGTGTATTATTTATGATGCTGTTTGTTACAGAGGTGTAGCTTGAAATCACAGAGCTAAGAATTTTTCATATTATTCTATACCTCATAAAAGTTGATAACATTAGGTACTACACTTAGGATATTTTTTTGCTATAACCTTTTTCTGTGGCAGTAAACACTTACCCGGTGGTCGATTGTCAGAAGACGGCATTGTTTCCTCTTCAATTCACATTATAATCTGAAAATAAAAAATGATATTAATTAAAAACAGGAACTTTAAATGTCATAAAGCTAAAAAAATATAAAGTGTTAATAAGTTATTGTTAAAAAGTTTTATATAGCTTGTTCTATTTTTCTATATCATGACCTTTTGTCAATAGTATAGTTGTGTAATTGATATTTCACGCATAGTGTGGTTATATTGAAATTAGCTATGGTTGGAAGTAGGATCATTCGCTCCGATAGGGGGCGTCCCACGCTATCAGTCCCACTATCTATGCAGATACGGCTGAGCGATGCCTGTCCATGCCCACTTCACTGTGATACTATTCTGAGCTTTTTTCCGTACACACGATAACTATGTTTATCGTCAAAGTTGTTCAAGGTAAAATTGACATGATGCTGTTACAATAACAAATGCTTTTACACTAATTTTATTACTTATACTTTGTAAGCAAGTTTGTAAATACATTGTCGTGTGCAAAAGAAGAAAAAAATCTTTTAACTTGTAAAAAAAAAAGCAAAGACAAATTTTATCTGTTGTGGTAAATAAAATAATTATTTATAAAACATATGGTGGTAGATTTAGTTATCGTATTGAGATAAAGGACATAAAGAATCGCTTAAAATTATTATAGCAACGACACAGTCTTCAGTTTAGTCTTCTTTCCCTTCCCACTCTTTTTCTCATAAGGAAACGATGGGAAGTGGAAGCGGACTTTCCGGATGAGAGGATGCATGGCAGGGGAAAATCTTTTCTTTCTGTGTATCCTCTCCTCCGTTGATTAAAGGTAGGCAAAGCGTATGCAATCGCGTATGTCTATGGGCAACGGTCACTTCGCTATTTCAGCGATTTCAGGTGGCCGGTCGCTCGTTTGCCACCAAATGATATAAAATAAAAAAAAGTCATAATAAAAAATATGTTAAAAAAATATTGTTAACAAAACAAGCTTTAATTATCTTCGTTGTTAATATAACCTACATTGTTAAAAGTTTTCCTTTGACAAACTAGGTAGCAAACTGTAGTGCGTTATTTAAACTCTGCGTGATTTTCTACTAGAATTTATGAATTAAAACGATTATTATAAAAGACAAAAAGTGTTTCCACCGCCGAAAGACACCGAGAATTAAAGCGATAATAAAAAAATGATGCCTTCAATTCCGTAGTAAGCAGCTGATAAAAAGATTTTCACAGTTGTACTACGAATGTGAAATATTTAAATTGGCATTACTTAAATTAATATAAATCAATACAAATCACCTAAATTAGGTTTAGTTGACAATTACTTAAACAGTGTGATAAAAATATTCAATTCAAAAACAAGCAACGCCTTAAAAAAATTGAAAGTGTGTAGTTTTTCTCTTACGCATTTCTCCTAAAGTTTGACGTACAAAAAATATCTATTAAGTCTATACAAGAATTCCCAGGCGTTAACAAAAAATATAACGCCTGGTACCCGTGATAATAAATACGCAGTAAATTTTGTTTTAGTGCCGTGAATAAGACGTCGGAGCTATAAATAATATTTTTGTGTTTTAGTGCGACGTAGCGTTCCGCAAATTGCTAATACAAACATTATAAAAGCCATGGTCAAAGGTTACGACCGCTGACAAAGGCTGGCCGAAACTGAGGATTACCTGATCACACGCTCTAGCTCGGTTTAATTAAAAAGAAATAAGATTGACATCTTTGCGGCCAAAGTCGATGTGTCGATCCGATGTCCGATTTGAACCGTTAAAATTATCTTAGTCAGCAAATAAAATTTTCTTCTTACTAATATGATATATGCGAATGTTTAGATGGATTGATGGATGGATGTTTGATTGAAGGTATCTCCAGAACAACTGCATGGCATGGATGTCGAAAATTGCCTGGAAGAATACATAGGCTACTAATTAAGCTCATGTCTACGCAAACGGAGCGGCGGATGACAGCTACATAGTAACTTATAAATCGTCACTAACCTATCATATTATAATCATGGCGTAAGAAATTCGTAAAATTTACGCCAATTTTTACCGAGGATTTCATTCTTGAGACTCGTTTCGTGGCAACAACAATTATATAATACATAATAAATAATAATCAACAATATATAAAAAAGTAAAAAATATATTGTAATCGTCGGCAATGTTTATACAGAAATGTTATAACGGTGGTCCATTAAGGCCCGCCGCCAATACACGACAAGAGCATTGAACAAACATCACCTTGCCAGCCATTTGTTAAGGTCCATTGTAGCGACGTGACACTTTGTTAGTCGCCTACGAATATCACACAAAAACGGAAAATTCATTTATCTTTAAAAAAACAATCATAAAAGATAATGTATTATCATTTTATACGTACTATTACAATGTGTATGAATGTAGAAAAGATATTTCATGTGTCAAGTGCAAGTTCATAATCTCTGTCTACCCGTGTGGTTAACGAGCGTTAAGAGCTATGGTTTTTTGGGTTCTAAAATTTAATGAAATGAATAAAAATATGATAGAACACACCTATTCCATTTTCTAATATTTTTAGTTTACGTATAGACAAGAAAACTTCAAAAAATAACTTTAGTCATAAAAATGTGTACTAGAGTCAGATATTCGTCATATTTTATTAATATGTGAATATATGAAGTTGTCGCGGTGGCAATTAACCATCAAGTAGCCGTCGGGGGGTCGTTTCTGTCCGGCGAGTGATTAACGACTCAGCACGACTCGCGGAATTAGGGCCAATTGAATTCTCTGACTTAAGTGTACACCACTGTCATCTCAATTACAAGCAATTTGTTTTTATTCTAAGATATATTTTTGGAAGCGAATCTTTAGTCTAACATTTGAACTACGTATAATTGATGTAGTCATATTAAAATTTTATCTGCAAACATACGCTTTTTTTATAACAGAAGGGTGCGAACGAGCAGCGGGAACATCGAGGTGTTCAGCGACGCCCATGGACATCAGCAATACCAGAGGAACCGCAGATGCGTTGAGGCCTTTAAGATAGTGATAAGCTCGCTTCTTTATAAGATAGGACTAGACCACGTAGTAAAATTATAATGAGACAACGTGACCATATTTCTTAACGTTTGGAATAATTTGGGACGTGTCAGATTTTACTCCAAAAACTGTCTAACTAAATTTAAAACTTATTGTAAACTTCTTGAAATTCTCAAATTATTTTAAGATTAAAGTTTTGAGGACGCTGTTTGTCGTTGTGTTTTTGTTTCACAAAAAATATTGTTTAATTACATGAAAAGCCATTTGAATTTAAAAACAAACAGTGAAGCGGAAATTGTAATTATTAGAGGCGCTCATCCTGAAAGTATTCCAAACATTAATTGAATAAGCTTTCGCTGTGTTGATGAAACTTTTTGAAAATAGAACCTTTTTGGTTACTGGTTTAATATCTACTGTCTCTTCTAATTCTTCTGAACTTCTTCATACAACTAATTAAGAGAGTATTTTGATAATCTACAGATCTTACAAAGTTACATTTGCCAATTCATTTGAAACTAGTTGTCCCCGCGTGGGACTCCGTCCGTGGGGAATTAAAAAAAAGTAGCCTATATTTTCTCTGTCAGACTATATTCTATATTTGTTCCCTTCAGTCATGTAGCCGTTCTGGAGATAACTTTCAAGATCCGTCCATCCACCAAAAATCAATTCAAACATTCGCATTTATTATATTAGTAAGATATGTACTATTTATACATCATGTTAAAGATTAGTAATAATCTTTCTAAATAATATTAAAAATACCTTTACACTATAAAATCCACTGTTAAACAAAAATAAACAGTAATAGCTACTTGAAGATATCACAAGAACGGCTAAACGGATCTCGATTAAATTTGGCATAATTATAGAACGTAGTCTGGAAGAACACATAGGCTACTAATTATGTTTTTTTAATCCGTCCGGACGGAGTAGCGGGTGACAACTAGTGGTAGATATTTTAATCTGTATTTTTACAATGTTGAAATACTGCCTGATGTAAAATTATAACTTATTAGTCGCTAAATTTACTCGCGAGGAAATGAAACGTAACTCACTTTACTTTTGGTCGTGAAGCGGTCGTTCGGCGAAATTTAATTTTGTAAGTTAATACAAAAATTACACTTCATTTTCAGTATTTCATAATTAAGAACCAAAAACTTTTTTTTACATTTTTCTAAACATGCAATATAAAAATTGTATGTCGCAATGTGTTCCAAGTTAATCCCAAAAATTACGTACCGTGGATTTCTGCATCCAAAATTTCTAGACAACACATAGGTAACAATGTACTTTACAACGGAGATTTTGAACTCAGAAATCCACGGTTTACCGATCTCATTAGAACCTTTTGAGTAATTACGTCCACCTTTGACTTATCAAAGGACTTCAATATTTGTAAATATTTCTAACATTGGATGATTTGCTGCACATCGATTTAAATACTGTATATATGTATGTTTTTAAAAGCTGTGGGCTTCGATCAATCGCGTCGTTAATGCTTTTGTGTAGATAGCGAGTGATAAAACATCATTTACAATGTTTTCTGTGCGCGGGTACTGATAACGACGGGCTGATATGCTGTCTCAACGGTTTTATATCACAACTCTCTCTCTCTCTCTCCCTAGCTTGCATCCCGCAAGGTGGTGGGGTCAGCTTTCCCAATCTGTCTCTTCCTCATTTTGCTCATTTAAAGATATAAGATATTATAAACTTACTAGCGGACCCGACAGACGTTGTCCTGTCTACACGTCTTTAATTTGAATATTATTTAAAATTTGACACTGCGATGGTAGCGCTGCCTGTCGGATCCAATGTAAAACATTCCAAATTCAACAACTACTAATAAATTAAAAATTAATTAAAAAACATTGTCCAGCGGACAAAATTGTGAATCTAAACCATTCCCAGATCCCCTTGAACACACACAAAAAATTTCATCAAAATCGGTCCAGTCGTTTGAGAGAAGTTCAGTGACATACACACTCACAGAAGAATTATATATATAAAGATTTGTTTCTATTATGATGATATGTTGGTAAATCACTTATGTAATTTATGAATGAATGATGTCATATATTTCATATTTACCTTATTTACTTCATCAGTTGACGTAGTCAGGCTTGCCTTGAGGAAGTATATTTAATATTGTTATTAATAGTAGTTGGGCTTAACTTGTCCGGTCGCGTGGTAAACATAGATTGCAAGTTTATGACTGTATTGTGATTACAGTTAGTACATTACCGTTTTTGGTCGCTGTGATAAGAAAGGTCCGCAAAGAATTAGGAAATGTACGATGGTTTTTTTTTGTTTATTTCACTATATCATTCTACATATACATACGTTCCAAGAAGTAGGTATATTAAAAAGTATTCAAATATTTTGAAGCATATTTCTACTAATAGAAGTATATAATTATTAATACTTCAGTTAATTTTGTATTTAAAAATTTACACAACGTAAAACATTATGAAAAAATTACACTATTACTAGCACTCGCCCGCGACTTCGTCCTCGTGAAATTAAATTAATAAGTAATCTACTACCATCTAGATCCGTTAAACCGTTTTGGAGGTACTTTCTAAAAATCATCCATCCATCCAACCAAACTTTCGCATTTATAATAAAGTAAGTATATTTTAACATTTTTATTAACTGTTACATAGTCAAGTTAAATTATTAGCATGGGAAATATCATGTTTTATTTAATTTTTATATAAATATGATTTTATATTGCTACGTTATTGTATTTATTTAAATAAAGCAAAGGTATCATCAACCTGCCCTTATCCCTATCGAGGGTCGGCACAGCATGTACTACTCCTCCATACATCTCTATCAGCCGTCATATCCGAGTCTACCCCCTTCTTACGCATATCCTCTTTCATACAGTCATTCCATACTTTTTTTGGTCTTCCTCTACCTTTGTAGCCATCCACATTCAATCTCATTACTTTTTTGCTTATATCATCATCATCCCTCCTCATAACATGTCCAAAATAAAGCAAAGGTATGTTTGTTAGAAAATCACGTGATAACTTACCCACAATAAAACACCTGTCAAAATATTTGTCGACTCATGTCCTTCACGCACACCTGTAACAAGAGAATATTATAACAATTATTTCATAACAATTATAAATTCCCACGGCCGTGAATTACTTACGACATTAGTAAATATATTGGACTAGCTTTTGTCAGCGACTCTGTCCGCACAGCATTAAAAAAAATAGGCTATGTGTTCTTCCAAAGTATATTCTACATCTGTGTCAATTTTTACAAGATCTGTTGATCCGTTCCGGTGATATCTTCTAACAAATATCCATCCATACAACCATCCATCCACCTAAACTATTGCATTTATATTATTAGTATAATGTCTTCTTCACCATTTAGTACTTTAAAAATGATTTTATTATTTATAATTATTAAGTATAATTTATCTCTCTTTTCTACTAACTTTGACGAGTGAACTATGATAAATTCAGTAGACTTTCGGCATTAGTCAATTACTAGTTCAAATTAATCAGTAGATCTAAATGACTCTACGAGTTAGTCTACGGCGTAGCACTCTATGTATATCTTGCTACGTTAATTGAAAGTGATATAGATTCGAGCTCGTTTAAGCGTCGTCGTTGATTTAAAGTATAATTGCAGTGTTGTAATTGAATAGTTCAGATCAAAGATGTCTATTAAATTATATTCTTTGTTCTCAATTTGTAATTTAATTTATTCTTAGAGTTCTGATAATTTAAGCCTAATATACTACACTAAGTCAATAAAATATTTATAATAGTTATAATTTTTTTCTCGTAAATAAGATAAGCTTTTTGACATTAATATATAATACAAGTAAATAAGTCTAAATATATGTATATAATATATAATATAAGAATATAGAACGGTACAATATTTCTAAAAGTGTATTTGTCTTAACAAGAGCCAGGTGGCGCTCCAATCGATACCGTTCAGGTTAACATCAATCTTAATGTGACATATTTACTGGACACAACAAACACACGACGCTATAAAAAGACTTTCGTAGAAACTAGCAGTCGTCCGCGGCTTCGTACGCGCGGATTTAAAAATCTAATAAAAAAAATATAGCCTATGACACTCAGGTATAGTGTAACTTTGCAATAGTTAAAGAATTTTTGAAATCGATTTACTAGTGTCGGATTCTATTCAAAACAAACAGATTTCCTCCTTTCTATTATTAGTCATAGAAACTAAAAGTAAACCTGTTTTTTATACAACGTATCGTTTTAATAGTTTTCTAACTTAACTTCTTAAAAGATAAATTTAAAACAAAACATATCATGAAACCATCAAAGAAAATAAGTTGCTTATTTTAAAAAAAAATCTTATTTGAGTTTTGAATGTATTATTTTATCTATCATTACACTAGAAGGAAAATTGTTTTAAATTAAATCATATTAAAATAAAAATATTAATTATTATTGCTAAAAAATGTAGAGCACTCACAAGGTAAACTTTTCCAAATCACCATGTCACTAACGACCAAAAAGTTTTCAAAACTCTCACATTTAAAATTAATTAAAACTTCAACGTTCAAACATACAAATTAAAAACAAACACAATTAACTGATCACTTTAATTCACGAGTAAGTTCCACAACTTTAAATATTCAACACGACATCCAAACACAGAACGCGTCCGCCTGTGTCAAGAGGCAACGTTGTACTGACTCCGAGTCCGATATTAGCAAGAACATCTCCCAGCATTGGTTTAGGGAAGTCCGAGTGACCCAACAAAATTACGTTAATTACACAATTTGTTTTATGGTTTTTACGAAATGTATAAATTGCTGACGTATAATAAACATAAGAAATCATTGAATTTGTCTCATAATAAAATAAAAATTCTCTGAGGTTTTTTTGGAACATTTAGCTACGATTATTATGTTTAACGCAATAAAGGGAGACGAAATTATATGAAATTCGCTTAGCAAAATACTACACAAGATTGAGCGACAATGGTCAAGTTTTCTCAAAAACAAAAGCGTTTTTTAACACAAAGTATACGTAGTACTAGTACTAACTGCTATACTAAAATTCGTTACAACTAAAGAAGTCCGTTAGTACAAAAACTGTCGCACAAAATCCATGTAAATGTCTGTAAAAGTTTTTGTAATACATCAATGAGGTAAACGGCTCTAATCCCGTTATCAAATTGCGTGAGCGTGAAAACACCGTAAGCGATGTTTTATCAGTTGCCAGCGCCCGCGCTGTATCGCACTCGCGAACAGCTTTCACAAGTCACGGCTTACTCTAGCTTTTATTAAAACAATTTTAACAGTGTAGTACGATTTGTTAGAGATCACGATCCTAGAGAGGAAACGATGCATAGAGAGAGAGAGAGAAAGACTTAGTAACCACGAATAATTTAATTAATAATTTTAATTTCATTTAATTTTAAAATGCCAATGAATATTAAGATAAGACCTCTGTTTAATTCCTCCATCATAATTCTTAATTTAAATTAAACGGTTATTGTTAAAGAAGACACTTAACAAAATTGGAGTAATACATCTCGTTTAATTTAACGTAGGTACATATCTCGACAAGCCATCTTTATTGTCCCCTTGTTTACTGCGGACATTGAAGTATTACGACCAATGTTTTCCTTATCAAATTTAAAATATAACAAAAAATTAAAATACAAGGTTAGTCCTTTAAGGATACAAAAGGAATTGAATGAGGGAAATTAATATATTTAAGAATTAAAAATAGTCGAAGCAATTTAGGCTTCATGCCTTGTTTGTTGTATTCTTTCTCATTGTGAATTTTACCAGTTGTAACCGTGTATTTTTTTATCTGGATGGCTGGCATTCCACAACGGTGCGATTCTCGCGTAACTTTTTGCCTCGCACAGCCGCGTTGTGGAACGGTCTGTCCTCGGTGGTATTTCCAAACCAGTACGACTTAGGGACCTTCAAGAAGCGAGCATACCATTTCCTTAAAGGCCGGCAACGCATCTGCAGTTCCTCTGGTGTTGCAGATGTCCATGGGTGTCGTTGATTACCTCGGTGTTCCCGCCGCTCGTTTGTCCCCTTCTCTTATATAAAAAAAAACAAAGAATTGAGATGACCAAAGAAATGAGAGGGAAAACAATATTGTTGTCACACCAACATCTTAAACGTTTTAAGTAATTTATCCTTGTTATAATTGGGTAACCCCTCACCTGCTCTTGTTGGCAGCAAACAAAAACAAAGTGCGGCCGAGGCTCGAGATTAATGAAGGAATGTGTCACATGTGTTTTTTGTACTCATAAATTTGTCATCGTGTGACAGATTTACGTTTTCGTATTTTCCCTGGATAAAGTATAATGCATGGTTAATAATTAATATATTAAAATTTTCGCCAATAAGAAGAATATTTAAGACTAGCTGTAGCCCGTAACGCCGTCCGCGCGGATTTAAAAAAACGTAAAAAGTATTGTTCTTCCACACTATGTTCTACAACTCTGCAAACTTCAGGGAGATGCATATAGCTGTTCTAGAGATACCTTCAAACAAACATCCATCCATCTAAACTTTTGCATTTATAATCTCAGTAAGAAGTAAGATAATGTTCTATCGAATATTACTTAAACTTAACACTTTAATTGTTCCATAGAACAGCAACAGTAATTTTTATTATCCGTAAAAAAAGGTTGGATTTTTTTTCGTTTCTTTTTTTAAATTTATCACATTTAATGTAACGAAGATTTTTCATAAACAAATGAAAGTGCTAGACAGTTGAAACCTTTTACAATACCGTCTTGAATTAAATTTCATGTAATAACGATATGCCAAATTAATTTCCATTTTATTATGTCCCAGCTTCGGGTTATTAACAAAAGGTTAATTAATGAAAATTTAAGAGTTAACATTATTATGAATAAGGGATTTTGCTTATTTCTGCTTTGGCGATTCTTTGCATTATATAATTATATTTTATAAAATTAATACATTATGATGGTTTATATAAAATTGTAGACCACGAATTTTTTTAACTTTATGTTAGTTGTAAGCAGGAAAATTTTCTATATTGTTTCGAGGTTTCGAACACGATTTAGATCAATCTTTAACTAAAATCTTTCATTAATCACATCAAGTAAGGGACATTTGAAAGAAAATGTAACTCTTAGCCGCGAGAATCAAAGAAAATGTTGTAAAATGTAGACGATAAAATTAATTCATACAAATGAAACAATTTTTTGAAACTTCCTTTATCGATTTCAATACCTTTGTATAAACCTTGTAGTTAACGAGACCCGCGAAAATAAACTTTATCTAAATGAAATTATTTTGGCTGAAATTCAATATTGAAAACAAAATCTATTATCTATATAAAAGAAAGTTGTGTTAGTAACACTATTTATAACTCTAGAACGGCTTTACCGGTACGGTTGAAAATTGGTGAGGAGGTAGCTTAGAGCCAGATGACGGACATAGGATACTATTTTTTTTCAAATTTATGGCTTGAAGAGCTGCTTTATATTTACCTTATCTATATATTAAGTTTTTATTATATATTATCCACACGGACGGAGTTGCGGGCGACAGCTAGTTTAGGATAAGTAATGCATCAGATGCATTTAATGCATGGTCCATTATCATACATGTAGCTCGTACGCAAGCCGAAGATAAACAAATGTATTTAGAGTTTGTTTTATTTATAATCTTGGTATTCATAAGTTTAAATATGGAAATGGTGGTATACTACTCGACAAAAGCAAGTACACTTTTAAAATTGCAACTTGTAACAAAACGTAAAAAAATATATCTTATGAATGTAACGGTAATGTAGTTACGATTTTTGCTTAAAACAGATAAAATCTTAATGGAGTCACTTTTAACCTAATTAATAAAGAAATAAAATAATATTTAAATATGTTAAAAATGTGAAAAGATATACTGTGTAATTAATTTTAATTCAATACTAAAATACATAGATATACACAAATAATATAGCATACAGTTTGAATAATTCAAGTTCCAATCAAGAAACAAGACGTGCCCCAAATATGAGCCTGTGATTATTGACAAGGAAATTGCTGCCGAGTGTATACCATGAATTACTCATACTGTA